TGACAGCTTCCCCCAACCCCTTCCAACCCTTGACTCTGACATGCACACTCCCACAAGCCCCTTTCACCCTGGCTTACCTTTATGGCTATGGATCCCTTCATTGATCCTGGGCCTGTGGTGGGTGCACTAAGGCAGTTGTTACTGTTTCTGTGGACGCTGTCCATAAAGGAGACAACCCCCAAGGTACTTCATGTAGGATAAGGCCCAACAGTGGCAACTTAACACCTTCCCCCAGTGGATAAAACACAAGACTCTCTGGCTTGATAACTTACGGATGGGGCCCTCATTGCCTGGATGTTGGCACATTCATGTTGAGATTCAGAATTTCATTGACTCCAATTGAATGTTGTAAATTTAGCAAGAAAGAGTCTCTAAATTTTTCAATTTGAGATTAATCGGAAGCCTGATTTTATAGGTCTTTTGATGCTGTAATGGGTATTGTACATCCCACACCGAGTTACTTTATCCAAACTTTCTCCTTTTTTTTCCATTAAACCTATCTCTGCCAATTGATTCCAATGTCAAAGCCAGATGTTAGGTAATCTTTGATTAATATACACCTTCCTTGAACTAGAATACAGTGGATGCTAGAAATCTGAAAAAATAAAAATCAAAATGCTGGAATTACTCTTGGGTTATGACAGTATTTGTGGAAAGATTAAAAACTCAGACTAGAAACAAAAACGTTAACCTTTTCATTAGAACTGGAAAGAGTTAGAGATTTTAAGCAAGACTAGGGTGGGAGAAGGACAAAAAGGAAGATCTGTGATGGTGATTGAATGATAGGTGAGTTACTGTTTCAGGGCCAAAGGGAATGGAGATGGGACAAGAAAAGAGACAAAGCATGTGTTTTTCAGGTATGTTGCTGAATGAAAGGAAGAAAGAAACAAATGGGACAATGATTATGGTCTGAGAATGCTCAGCCCAGAAGGCTGTAAAACATTTGATTGAAAGCCTCCCTGGAGCTATGCAGTAGGTTGTCTTGTTATCTAGTTAGGTGTGGCAGGAATGCCTGACTGGATCCAGGGAACAGGTGATGGTTTTAAGGGAAAATCAGATGAGCATTTGACGGAGTGTAGATATTTGTAACCAACCTGTGTTCCGTGAGAACCCATCAGTTGATTGGATGTGTATGTATAGGGAAAAGAAGTAATCAGTGTAGTTAGACACTGGAGTGAGAGTAGAAGTAAAGTACTTATGAGAAAAGCCTATGCTTGAATTCTGTCTAACCAGCATTTAACCTTCTGGTTTTTATTTGGCTGAGGACAGAAATGTCAGTGTGAGATCTAGGATGAGAATTAAATTGACAGGCCACCAGAAACTTGGGGTCATACTTTTGGACTGATTGGAAATTTCCACAAAGCAGCCACTAATGTGTTTGGTCTCCCCAGTGTAGAAGAAACTACGTTGTGAACAGTGAATGTAATAGACTAGATAGAGATGTATGTGTAATTTTCAGATTCACCTGGAAAGAATGTTTGCGGCCTCAAACAGTGAGACAGACTGGGCAAAAGGACATCTGAGGACATTGTATCGGAGTTTGGATGGAAAGGGACTGTGGGGGAAGGGATGAAGTATGAAGAGTGGACCATAGTGCCTTCAGAATGCTGAAAGGGAAAGGGAAGCTGTGATTTGTTGTGATGCCACATTTGGGGTGATTTGAAATAGTGATAAATGATCATTTGAATATGGAGATTAGTGGGGTGGAAGGGGAGGGAAAGGGAAACCCCATCATGGTTTTGTTTGGGAAGCGAAGAGGTAAGAGCAGAAGTGTGTCAATGTGGCGGACACAGTTCAATGCCCTGTTAACATCTGGCGATGGGGTGGGGAGAATCCTCAGTTGAGCACTGACTTGTTTTATGTAGATTCTGTCAGCTGTCAGATCCTATGTTCGAACAGAAGAACCTGTTTCTTCTACTAAATGAAGTAAACAGGTGCCAGTTTCCTTGCAGGGACGGCATTTCTATAGTTAAAATACGATTCAAATATTTTAATGCCACTTAATTCAAGATACGTTGCCTTCTGCATCAGTAAAGAAAGGAAAGTATAGGCTCTAGACTTCCTTTACACTATCACTTATTCTAAAATTATTGTAATTTCATGCACCGGCTAAATTTTCTACACTCCAGCTTCAAAATTAATGCATGTAAATGTGCACTACTCCTCTGCACAGATGTTCAAATGTGCAGTGATTTATAAAACCCGTCCTAAGTCCAATGCTAGTTAGCAGCAATGGTTGAGAGCCCATTCCTGTCTGGTTAAATTAACATCTTCATTATTCTATATGCTGGCTTGAATCTTGTGTTTCAGTAAATTAGATTGCAAGTTTGCCTGTTTTGTAAGGCTAACAGGCTCACTTAAAAATTGCTAAGTCAAATAGACATGGCAACTGCTGTACAATTTACAACGGAGTATAACATGTTTTCACTGAGAATATGTTCAGTTGTTGCAGTATCTTTGTATAACCATCTGCATCCGAGGAATAGAGGTTACAGAATGCAGACTCGGCCTCTTGTCCGAAATTCTCAATCTGATATGGCTGGGACCCCTCCAGGAATATTGCTATTTGCAATGCTCCACCATTTGCTGTGGTAAAAATAAGGCAGCATTTCCTTGCATGTGACCCAAGTGAGGAGGACAAAAGAGAAAGTAATATTCTTCCAAAAAGAAATCGGATTTACAATGTACAAATCCAATTTTCATTCCAAATAGGCTTTTATAAGCATGATTTAAAATCTTAAGAGTCCAAACCAATGGCAGGATCAATTTAGTTTCTGCTAGTTTTACAATGGGACTATTTTGGCCTTTAGTGGGGTCGGGTGGGGTTTGAGAGAAGATGAAAAGTTACAGTTTTAGGTACATGTTGGCAGAAATAAATCTTCACATCAGAATATCTCTCCACTGAAGGCTAAAATCATTAGTGAACAAAGAATGAATTCAGTCAGAATTGGCTGGTGTTGGGCTTGAAACACCCACTGAAAGACAATATTCCACAATCTCATTTTAAGGAGTGTTCCTCCAACTTGTGAAATGTGAATGAACACTTGCATGTTTTGAAACTTTAACATTCAAGTGTTACTTTTTTGGTTGCAATTATCATATAAGGGGCAAGTGTGCCCAATGTGTTATTGAGGCCCAGTGCATATTACAAAATGATTGTCATAGTCATAGTGTCCCTATCTCTGAGCCAGGAGGCCTGTGTTCAAAACCCACCTGTTCCAGAGCTGTAAAATAACATTTCTCAACAGGTCAATCAGAAAATATCTACGTCACAAGAAGTGATGTACGTGTCACACAGTTTTTCTGTTGCCTTGTGTCAAGATGAAGCTGCAGTAAAATTTATTCTTCCTTCACTCAGCAGACTCTTAATTTTGCACCAAAACACCAATAATGCCATATCAATTATATAGCAAACGGCAGAACCATTAATAGCATTAACATACAGAGGGAAATAGGCATACAGGTTTACAATTCCCTGAAAGTGGCAACACAAGTGGATAAGGTAGTCTGGAAGGCATGTGGCATGCTTGCCTTCATTGGTCAGGGGTACTGAGTAAAGAAATTGGCAAGTCACATTGCAGCTGTACAGAACTTTACTTAGGCCACATTTGGAATATTGTTCTGGTTGCCACATTATCAGAAGGATGTGGAAGCTTTGGAAAGGTTACAGAAACGATTTACCAGGATGTTTGCTGGTTTAGAAGGTATTAGCTATGAGGAAAAATTGGAAAAACTTGGTTTGTTTTCATTTGAAAGTTGAAGGATGAAGGGCAACCTGATAAATTTGTGAACTTCTGTGACACATGTGTCAGGAGTCTTTTCTCTCCACTGTAGAGATGTCATTTACTAGGAGACATGCATTTAAGGTAAAAGGGGGTAGGTTCAAAGGAAATTTGAGGGGCAGTTTTGTTTTTTGTTTTTGTTTACACAGCGTGGTAAGTGCCTGGAATGCGTTACTAGATGAGGTGTGGAGGCAAACGCAATATCAATGTTTAAGAGGCATCTTGACAGATACACGAATAGGCAGTGAATAGAGGGAGATAGCAAGAACTGCAGATGCTGGAGTCAGAGTCAATACAGTGTGGAGCTGGAAGAACACAGCAGGCCAGGCAGCATCAGAGGAGCAGGAAAGTTGACATTTTGGGGTTTACACCCTTCATAAGGACTCATTATTTCATCAGCCCTGATCAAGGGTGTAAACCCAAAACGTTGACTTTCCTGCTCCTCTGATGCTGCCTGACCTGCTGTGTTCTTCCAGCTCCACTCGGTAGCGAATAAAGGGATGTGGACTGCATTGAGGCAAAAGGTTAAGTTTAGAAAGGTATATGTGTCAGTGCAGTCATGGTGGTCAGTAACATGTTCACACATTGCACCCAGAAATGGGTCCAATTTGAGAAAATTTGTTCCTTCTCATGTTTGCACTCAAATTAGTTTGCACATTGCACAGTTTCTATTGATTTTTTTTTTTTTTTTTTGTTCCCCATTTTAGCAATCAGGTGCTGTTTTGTAGGAAAGTTCCTTTTTATGTATAAGAGTTAACTTGTTGCAGTTTGAGCTTGAGAATGAGTTTGGGACTAGCACAAGAAATGTGCATTTTTTAATCAATGTCTATTCACCTCACGAGTAATCTAGTTTCAAATCACTGAAGACCTTTTTAAGTTGTACGTGGACATATTTCCTTGCTACAGTAGTTAGTTTCATGATGATAAATTAAAATTGACATACTTTAAAAAATGTCTATTTTGCCCAAGGGAACTAAGTTCATTTTAAAAGTCTCGTTCTGGAAAGTTTTTGGATTTAAAATTCCCAACCAGTTATGCTGGGTTGGCTCAATTTTAAAATGGAAATACCAGCTCAGTGAGGTGGAAACTACTGCTGTTACTGAATGAAGATATCTCTTAAATTTCTTTACTGGTTGAAAACAATATGGTCCTTCTTGTTCATGTATTGATCCTGCATATCTTTTTTTTTAATGCACGGTTTTCATCCTTTTCTTCAAGAGTTACCAGAAAACTGGACAGATACAAGAGAATCACTACAGGAAGGAATGATATTTAATCTCAAGTATTTGGGTATGACGCTAGTGGAACAACCAAAGGGGGAAGATATGTCGTCTGCTGCTGTTCGAAGGATTGTTGCTATGGTAATAGTCAACTTTTGTCTGCATTTTTAAATAGTTGGTTTCGGATGCAATTGGAATACTGAAAGCAATGGTTGCAGCTTTGTCAGATTTTGATTGCTCGGCCACATCTCTGTGAATTGATGTTGGCTGAACACATCCTCCTCAAGGCACTAAAACAGGACACGTTTCAATATTGAAGTTGTTCATAGATGCAGCTGCTGTTTATATGGGCAATGGTAACTGAATTACTGGCGTAAACAACAAAATGATTCCGGTCCTGTGAACCTAATGGCCTTAAAGCACACCAAATAACACCACATTGGAGGTGTGGGTGCAGCATGATAAGTTGACATCGTCTATTTCCCATGAAAAGTGTTAAAATAAAATTGTTCTAATGAAATTATTAAGAACGAGCCTAATTTGCACATTTTAAAATAGGGACTGAATTATGACTGACAGCCCTGGTCATGTACTGTAGTATACCCTGCTGACCTGATTTACCTTGGGACCACATTCGGCCTTCACTCCACTTCTCCATGTGTGCAATAATATGGGAGATCCAAAGCTGAGTTGGTTTTTGAATTTTAAAACTATTTACATTTTGTGGAAGTGGTCTGCTGCTGGTGGTTTTGACTTCCTGTTTCTCGGTCTTGTAACTCCTCTGCCAGCAGTGTTACCAGTCACTGTAGAATGCACAACTATATTTGTTGTATTTTGCTTTTTGTGGTGATTTAATTCAAAGCTTGGGTTTTATTATTATTTTATGATGATTGAAATTCGCATTTTATAATGGGCATCAAACATGTGTACCAATAGCTGGTGGCAGTCAATGTACTAAGCATTTCTTGGTTTAGTGGAGACTGTCTATAAAGAAACATTTGCAGTTTTAATAAAGTCAGTACCTGAGAAATGCCATTTTACCAACTGAATTGGAATGCTACTGCATGTTCCCTTAGTTGGCTATCTCTGAGAGAATTAATTTATTGTCTGTAAGTAGCCAGTCTTTGGCATTGCAACTAAATTTTAATGACTTTTTATTTTTCTGTGCAGGCCAAAGCAAGTGGGAAAAAATTTCAGAAAGTCTCACTGACTGTGTCGCCGAGAGGAATCATACTGCATGATGGAACAAATAATGAACTAATAGAGAATGTCTCCATTTACAGGTATATAGCACTGCCACGCTGACTTTATTATTTAGGCACAAATGGTAACTGTACACTAGTGCAGGATAGGAAGGCTAATGTTCAACCCTCATTACCATCTGAGATTTTTTTCTTTAAAATACGAATGCTGGTGAAATTCGACGTTACTGTGAACTGCTGAAAAGAGCATAACCACTGTTTTGTGTGTGGACCCTCCTTCACAACTAGTGCCAACTTAAAGGTGTTCTGTATAAAGCATAGCTTACAGAGGCAGTAACTTCATGTATTAATCTTGACCAAACATTATAGCTCTTATCCTTGATATTCAGAACAGGAAAATAATGATGGTGTGAAGATTTGGAAGATTAAATAAAAAATGCTGCACCGCATATATAGACTATTAAAGTCAAGGATTCAAGAGTAAACTTTTAGCCAAAAAGTAGGGGATCAACTTTTACACAAGTAATGTTTGATGGGTTGAAATTCTTCACTATTGCGGAATTGCAAGATTAGGGAATGTTTCCATCCATGCTGTCCCCATAAGTTTCTATTCACAGCTTCTTTTTCAATCTTTGACACAAATAAAGCAATAATACTTTCTGCACTTTCATCCAAGTCATTTTATGTCAATTGTAGAAACTTGAGGGCCTAACACTGATACCTGTAGCACATAACTGGTTAGTCTTGCCAACGAGAAAATGTCCTTGGATCACTGTTTGTTTAATTTAACCCACTGTGTTTGACGGGACCCTTGGTCATGCAAGACCCATTCCCCCCCACTCCTGTCCTTATCACTTCTCCTTCTCAGAATAAAGATAGGGATTTTCACCACTAACGCCACCACCACTCCCCCCCCCCCCCCCCCCCCCCCCCCCCAATCTGCCTTCCGGAGGGACTACTCTTTCTCCGTGACTCCCTTGTCTGCTCTACACTCCCCACCACCCCCGGTGCTTTTCCCTGCAACCGCAGGAAGGGCTACACCCACCCCTATACCTCCTCACCCCCATCCCAGGCCCCAAGAAGATCTTTCGCATCAAACAGATGTTCATCTGCTAATGTGGTATACTGTATCCACTGTTCCTGATGTGGCCTCCTCTACATTGGGGAAACCAAGCGGCGGCTTGCAGACCGATTTGTGGAACACGTATGCTCGGTTCGCGACAAACGACTGCACCTCCCAGTCGTGAACCATTTCAACTCTCCCTCCCACTCCTTGGATGACATGCCCATCCTGGGCCTCCTCCAGTGCTACGGTGATGCCACCCGAAGGTTGCAGGAACAGCACCTCATATTTCGTTTCGGAACTCTGCAGCCCAATGGTATCAATGTGGACTTCACAAGCTTCAAAATCTCCCCTCCCCCGACCACATCCCAAAACCAGCCCAGCTCGTCCCTGCCTCCCTAACCTGTCCGTCCTTCCTCCCACCTACCCACTCCTCCCACCTTAAGCCCCACCCCCACCACCTACCTACCTGCCTCCTTGACCTGTCCATCCTCCCTGGGCTGACCTATCCCCTCCCTACCTCCCCACCTACACTCACCTTTACTGGCTCCATCCCCGCCTCTTTGACCTGTCTGTCTCCTCTCCACCTATCTGCTCCTTTATCCATCTTCCATCTGCCTCCCCCTCTCTCTCTCTCTTTATTTCAGAATCCCCTTCCCCTCCCCCATTTCTGAAGAAGACTCCAGACCCGAAACGTCAGCTTTCCCGCTCCTTTGATACTGCTTGGCCTGCTGTGTTCATCCAGCTCTACACCTTGTTATCTCTATCATCTTTTGCTATTTATTTACCACCTCCAAGAGGACACCATCACCAAACACCTCTTTCCCTCCCCTCCATTGTCAATATTCTGCAGGGACTGTTCCTCTGTGGCACCATGGTCCATTGCATCATTCTTCAATGAGTCCACACACTTCATTCTCCCATGGTACCTTTCCTTAACCGTTCATCATTCATCTCCTACCTGCACACTGTTCATGGCCCCAAAAATACTGTTCAGGTGAAGCAGCATTTTATTTGTACTCTATTAAATGTATTCTACTGTATTCTCTGCTTGCAATGTGGTCTCCTTTTACATTGGCAAGACCAGTAGAGGCTGGGTGGCCTCTTTTGAGGAATTCCTCCAGTCTGTCTGTAGGAACAATCCTGACCTTCCAGTTGATTGCTATTCCAATAAGCTCCCTCACTCCCGTGCTATTGTTTCTGTCTTGGACCTGCTGCAATGTTCCAAAGAAGTACAAAGAACATTATTTCATTTTTCACTTTGGCACGTTACAGCCTCCAGGTCTCAATTTTGAATTCTACAAATTTAGAGCCTGACTTCATGGTGGCTGTCCTTCATTTTCTTTTTTCCTACATTATTCTTCTGCCGCCCGTGGCTTATCTTGTTTTTTTTTGTTCTCCGCTGAGAGGACCCAGTTTTCTCCCTGCCACACCTTGATTTACATCTGTTTTGCACCTCCAGTTCTCTTTCACCCCTTTAGTAACACCTTTGTCTTTTACATTGGGCCTGCACATCATCTGTTCCCCTGGCCCCTTTTTATGCCACTGTCTAATGTATAAAAACCACCATGCTTGAATTCCTTTTCAATTCTAAAGAAGTGTCATATCGAACGTGAAACATTAACTCTGTTTCTCTCTTCACAAATGCTGCCAGACCTACTGAGCTTCTCTAGCATTTTGAGTTTTTGTTTCAGATTTCCAGTATCCACTGTTGAATTTTGCTTTAAATGATGCACTTATGCCTGCTGTTTCCTGTTTGCTGGCCCACTTTCTATCCAAGTCAATATGCTACTTTGTATACCAGGATCTTTTAATTTTCACCAATAACTTTTGATGTGGTAAATTTTATCAAATGCTTTCTGGAATGCTCTTGTCAAAAGCATGTAAATTTCTCAAAGAACACTAACAAATTGCTTGAAAATGACTTCCCTTTCATAAAACCATGTTGACTCTGCCTAATTACCATGAAATTTTCAAAGTGCCCTACTTAAATTCCACAGTTTCCATGGTGGGTTTTGAACCCGTGTCCCAGAGTATTACTGGGTTGGGCTTCTTTCTTTCTAGGCCGGCCACATTAAGCCTATCGGGGGAAGCGGGTCATAAATGCTAAGTGTTTGGACTTTTGGCTAAACTGTGAGAGACCAATTTGTACACCAGACTGACCACTTCTAGAACACTTAAAGAATGCACTGCAGACAAAAGTAAGCAATATGGAAGAAGAGGAAACTTCTAATGGTTTTGCATGTTTTCTACTAACGCAATAAGTGTTTCCTGGTGTATGCTGTGAGCTCTGGGAATTCAGCATTGCTGACTCTAATGCACTGCCTGAATATTTTCCTCCACATTTTATGGGTGGTGTAGAGGTAGAGAAAACCGAGTTTCAATCAAAATGATACACGAGAGCTGCTGAACCTGAACACTGTTTAGCCTACCTGAAGGATGTAACCTGCCTCTCTCTATCATGCTTTCTAATAGCAAAGAAGTTTGGGATAATGTGTTATAGCTTCAAGTCCTCTTATTTTGTTCATGCAACTTCCATGGTCTCAAATAGTGGCTGCATGTTATCATTTTCATCGCAAACAACTTTTGTTGCTTTGTTGCAAAGCCTCTTCAGCCAGACTCCAAGTTAGCTGGAGATCAGCTTTTGCATGGTGGCAACTTAGCAGAATGGGTCTCTATTCACTGGGATGAAACATGCACACACATTCTAATAAAGTAAAAATATATTTTGAATGTTGCTTGAAAACAACACATTTTGTCAAAGCTTTTCATCATTCATTTATCAGGGCATTCACATGAATTACCAATCTAAGGGGGACCAACATGATCTACTGAAGAAGAGTGTGAATTGGTTGATGACTGGACTTTGGTAGAGTTGCTGCCATAGAGAATGCACAAAAATATAGCTTTTTATGTTTAGCAGTACTCAAATCCCGTGTTACCAAACAGCTATCGGAATATCTCTTTTTCAGGAGAGGTGGATTGCAATGACTCTTTATCTTGCTTCTGATATCGTGGCTGTAAATTCTGTACAAGGCTGTATTTCAGAGTTAAAACATTGAATAAAATTCAAGTGCCACACACACTTTTAAAACTACACCCTGCTATGCCAAGGAGTGGCAGGATGTGGGTTTATATTTGCAATGCTTTCCTCGAACAACATGTTATTTCAAAATCTTAGCTCTACTTTCATAAGCCAAGTTTTTATACTGGTATTTTAATTCTGATTCTGGGAGACTGATGTTGATGAGTGTTTCCTCTCACTTTTATGCTTTTTAAATGCCTTTTTTATAATGTTGGAATTTAATTCATTCATTTTAGTGATAACTGTCAGAGTCTCTGGGTTTTCTCCCTACACTCCCCTCCTGTAGGTCATAGACTCATTGAGTCACGCAGCATGGAAATAGACTCTTCAGTCCAACTTGTCCACGTTGACCAAATTTGGTCCATATCCCTCTAAACCTTTCCTATTCATGTCCGAAGTTCTGGAAAAACTGGATGTGTTTACCTCTGCCTCTGTATTCATATTCGCTCTGTATATTAATCCGTCTGAATAGGAGCTTCCTGAGTATTATGATGTAAGGTGGGTGATATAAATATCACCGCTTTTAGAGTTTGGATTTTAAAGTGGCATCTAGTCTTTTGCCTTTTGTATTGGGGAGGGGCGGGGGGCGGTGGTTAACAATTAATTTGTCAATTTTTTTTTTGGAGTCATGATTTTTTTCGAAATCAGCATGAGAGGGAGTCCTTAGATTTGTTAATGGGAATTTATTTACGTTGGGAGAATTTTACACAAGGTAGAAGAGCGTCAGCTTATTTTCAGTTAGAATCAAAAATTTGTTTGTTTTTCTAATCCTAGGATAAAAATCCTCAGCTTGGAAAGCTCTTTGTTTTGTTAACAGAATTACTGTTTGGAGTCGATGTTAGAAAACAGTTCCTCTGAAAAGAAGGCAATTCAGAACAGTTAGGAAATAGTCTCCGTATAATTATTGTAGTCTGTAAGTTCCAGACCAGAAGTGTTTTGGTTAGAACCCTCAAGGAGTTATTCAAAGATGTAAAAGTCTGAGTTTAGTTCAGTTGTGTGAATAACCAAGTAAGAGGCTATCAAACTCTCAAGTCTGGGTACTAAAGAATACAGTTAAGTTGAACCTACGGATGGGATAGAGAGGGGAATTCTCTGTTTGGTGTTTGGGTGTTATATGGTGATGGTGTTGGGATTGATGGGATTATATTTTTGCTGTGTTTTGGAATTTCAAGTTGTGCTCTATGTAAATAGATTAGTTTATTCTATTTTGTCTTTTCATTTGCATAATTGCAGCATTGTGTTTGTGTTTCAGTGAATGACCACTTTTAAATCCTGTTTTTTATTTTAGTTTTAAAATCCAGCCAGGTTTCAGCCTAGGATCTGACTAGTCCAGTATTAACATTAGCTGGCATCATAACAATACCAGTCCTGAATCTTTATCATTACAGATTTGGACCTGTTTCCTTTATACTGCATAAGCCTGTAACTTTTTAGTTAACAATATGAAAAATATAGGTAACAATCTTGATTTTTAAAATATGAATTCTTAATATTACGTTTTTTAAGGCTGAGAAGCCTACACGTTTTTGATATTTGTTTTCCATATTATTCTAGCTTGTTCTGCTTATGCCTGTACTTTATTTAGTGGTCACTGAAATTTACCTTCTTCATAGTTCAGCTTTACAGAAATGAGAATTGAAACAAGCTGTCATAAATTTTGTTATTTCTCCTAACGTAGTTTCCACATTTGCATTCTTTTTGTTCTTGCATTGTGAAGAAATCTGACGTTTTTTTTATTAGGCAAGTGATCTTTTCGGAAGGAATTTCTTCCTACCATAAACCAGGGATTCTCCATAAGCACTTTTAAAGTTCAGAATGCAAATGTTTACGCTCTCCTGTTGGCTGTGGCTCAGTCGGTAGCACTCTTGACTGAGTCAGAGGCTGTGGGTTCAAGTGTCACTGAAGTCTTCAGCACAAAATCTGTTCTAATACTCCAATCATGTAGGTTAGGGGTACTGTCAGAGGTACTGTATTTCAGCTGAGATGTTAGGGGGAGGATCTATCTGCTCTCTTGGGATGTAAGTGATCCCAAGGAACTAATTTAAAGAGGAGCAGGAGCGTTCTCTCCAGTACTCTGGTCAATCTTTATCTCTCAACTGACATCGTTAGAAAGCTTTTTCTGCTCATTATTCCCATTGTTATTTATGGTGACTTGGTGTGGCCACTGAAGAATTGGTTTGTATAACTAGAATAGATTTCTGTTGTAGAGCTTGATGAATGAGTTCGCGTAAGATGCAAGCTGCATTCATTCTGATTGGAGGTTAGTTGTCTAATTACTGTGGAGCTGAAGGTCACTTTTTTATATTTTTAAACAGTTCAACTAGACTAAATGCAATGCAACAAAATTGCAATGGAAGCAGACCTTTGCCACGAGTGATATTGTAATTGTTTTTCTTTTGTATTAAGTTTGCCTCTTTTAATTTGTTTTATTAAACAATGCCTTTGTTCTTTACCAGGATATCTTATTGTACGGCAGACAAAGTACATGATAAAGTTTTTGCCTACATTGCTCAGAGCCAGCTAAATGAGACTTTGGAATGCCATGCTTTCCTCTGTACAAAGAGAAAATTGGTAGGTTTGTTTTTTCATATACTCTATCACTGTTTCTAAACAGTTGTTGCTCTTCTCACTGAGGGAGGAATCTTCCTTTTGGTCAAATTTGAGAGTAAGCATGTTTTGGTGGCAGCTAGCACACAGCTCCTATTTGTGAGAGAACACAGTATCCATCATCTCAACACTGCACTCTGCACTCTGAGTCCATTCGCGCTCCATCTTCAGCACTTGTATGTAAACAAATCAATAGTATATCCAGATCTAACCTTGTATTGCCTGTTGCTTTCAAACCTTAACCAACTACAATACAAACACAATCACCTGGAGCTCGGATTCCAAAATGCTAAGATTAATGATTCTGAGAAAATGGTTTTTTATTTCAAAACCATGAAAGCCTATTTTGTAAAACAGCACCTGAGCAGTATGACCTGTCTGTTGCAAGATTACAAAATTCCCATCCGAAAGACCCTTCAATGTTAAGACTAGGTTTTGGAATTCCCTCTGAAGTGGGCCACCAAACACCAGAAAAGTTTCTGGAAATCATTCATATGTTGCATTGATGGAGTACAAGAGTGTGGTTTATTTTGCGGTTTATTTATATGCTTGGATTGAGCCATCTTTTTGTTTTAAGTACACTGATTTTTGGATCCCAAACTATGAAACTAAGGAGCACTGCAAATGGTGATGTTACGATCATCAAAAACATCCAGAAGTTCAGCTGAGAATGTATCTACATTCAAGGCCATGGCCAATTTAGTAGCAATGAAACAAACGTTCTGGTTCAAGTTGCTCCATAAGACCTCGCACAAGAATCAAGGCTGATACAGTGCTGAGGGAGTGCGGTACTGTCCTTTTGGATGGCTGTTTAGAGGTCCCACCAGTCTTTTCATTGGATGTAAAAGATCCTGAAGACGGGCAGGGCAGTTATCCATGGTATCCTGGCCAATATTTATCTTTTGAGTAACATCACAGGAAACCAATTACCTGGTGACTATCACACTGCTGTTTGCAGTACACGTATTGACTGCCCGGTTTCCTTACTTACAACAGAGACTGCAATTCAAGTACTGTAGTGAGTTGAGACATCTGGAGGTTGTGAAAAGTGTGATGTGAATGCAAATTTTTTTTTCCCCAAGGTATATACTTGAAACATTTAGCTCCTATTTTTAGTAAGCTCACAGTACTTTCACTTTTGTTTTCTATAGTCTGTAGTTCCTTTAAAATGTAAAGCTAAGCACAGTTTTTAAACCAAAACTACTCTTTGCGGTTTTAGTGTCTCATCATTATGTTATCAATTCAGTGTTAATAGATTTCCCATATAGCTTAAGGTCCAATGTGCTGTTTTGCTATGATGCAAAACGTAGCAGAGTTAAATATAATTAATAAATTTCTATAATGTTATTTGGCCAAATCAATGACATTAAACCTGCAGAAAAGCTGTACTCCATATCAAAAGCCTGGAAGTATGGAGCGGAGTTCTCCATGTATTTAACACTATTTTGGATAGAAATGCTGTTTGACTCCAAATGCGTCTTAACCTTTGTGCTCTCCTCCTAGGCTCAAGCAGTGACGCTAACAGTAGCTCAGGCTTTCAAAGTAGCTTTTGAATTCTGGCAAGCTGCCAAAGAAGGTGAGTTTCTGAATTGCTACTTTATTACTGTGACTGGGTCATCACTTTTAAATATTTGGTTTTGTGATAATTTTGCTGCAACTGCAGAGGTTTTTTAAAAGAACTGCCTAAACTGAACTTTTGACCTCTGAAGAGGTTCACTTTTGAGTTCACATTTTAATCATGCTAAGTATCATAGAGGAACTCCACTTGTATCGCGACACAGCTACTATATATTAAATTCAGTGGAATTCTGCTTCTATGTTATGAGCGATATGTTAATGGAGCATCTGTGATGGGTGTTAGCTATTGTTAATGAACACGGGTGGCATGTTGGCTCAGTGGTTAGCACTGTTGCCTCACAGTGCCAGGAACCTGAGTTTGGTCCCAGCCTTCAGGGACTGTCTGTGTAGAGTTTGCACATTCTCCGTGCCTGCATGAGTTTCCTCCTGGTGCTCCAGTTTCCCCTCAGTTCAAAGTTTTGCAGGCTGGGTGGATTAGCCACGGGAAATGCAGGATTATAGGGATAGAGTTGGGGGTGGTTCTGGGTGGGATGCTGTTCAAAGTGTAGGTGTGGACTTGATGGGCCAAATGGCCTGCTTCCACATTCTGGTGATTCTGTGAACATGCATTGAATAGGCAATTGATAGGGGATTGGTCGTCTTTGCTTTCCTTTTTATAACCACAATTTGAAGGCACCACATGCATCTGATGTAATAAAGTGTCCTACGGCAATTGACAGGCACGTTATAAAACAAAGTATGACAATGAGCCGTGTATGAAGATAAGGATCTAATGAGCAAATGCTTAAGTCAAAATGGTACATATTACTCATCAGTTAGAGGTGGAGAGAACCTGAAACCTTGGCAGCTTGCAGTACAGCCTCCAGTTTTGGAATAGTTATTAGGGAGTGTCTGCTGACACCTGTAATTGTGCATGTGCTAATCCAGAGATACATGTGCTCACCATTCCAATCCCATTCTGTCAGCACGTAGAACTACAAATGATGTGACATGCAAAGGCACTGAGCATGCCCAGAGAAGAACCATGATATTGAAATGGAGTTCAGAAGTAGGGAAGGAGAGGGACTGAGGATGTGGGGGAAGGTGAGGGTGTGAAGATGCAGGAGGGAGTGAGGACATTGGGGGGTGGGGACATCGAGGGAGTGATGATGCAGGAGGGGGGAGGGAATGTGGATGTGGGTGGGTCTGTCTTCCCCTGTTCAAAGCCACATGACCTACCCTCTTCGCAGCTGACCAAACTTAAAGGCAAAACCAGTAAAATGTGCAAGCACAAATTTAAACAATGCATTGTATGCATGCACCATTGTCAGTAGACACATTCTTGTTCTTATTGGGAATGTTCATGATGCCATAATTAAAGAAACACCCACATCTGAGGTTTTGAGGAGATCACAAAGATCGGAAGGGACTTGTCATAGAAGGATCTAGATACAAGAAAGTGTTATGTCCCTAACAGACACCGCTGAACCAAATCAACCTTTCTACCTCTGTATTCACAACACAGTAAAATTTAAAACCTTTAAAGATCTTGAAAATTGAACCTAATGGTTCCTAACTAGACATGTTGAATAACTAATCGCAGACTTTACCGATAATCAAGTTTCAACACCAATTTGCAACTTAAACAAAAGACTTAGCAATTTACTAACAATACAATAGCTTCTGTAGCACAAAGTTAAACAACAAAGTAATCTAATTGGTCTATGCTTTAAACCTTTTAAACAGAACCTTTTGATCAGGTACCAACCTGTAGTTAACTTCTAGTATTGACCTCAGGAATAAACAAGTGCTTGTTTGTTCAGTTTTCCTTTTAACATCAGCAGTTGCCAACAGTCCCCTTTAGCTTACAGTTCCTAGTTCCAAACCAAAGTTGATACAGAATAAAAATAATAGAAATCATTGAGGTGTCTGACAAAAGTCACAAAACAAAAAATTGCTGAACTACACTGATAGTGAGTTCCACATCAGGGAGGAGATCCCATTATTCTGATTCGATTATTCTAAAGTCAAATAGATGACATGTACATGAATAATGACTACTGTAGGACTCTATGCCAGCACCTGTTCATCCCTTTAGCAGAGGACTGGAACAGTGAAAGTGTGCTCTTAAATAATTAATCTCTATGCTGTCAAAAATGCAACAGCTACTGACTTAATGTGGTCAGGGCTATGTTGGAATGAGAATCAATAAGGCCCCTGTGCATGACTGACCCTTTTTACTGCGGCTCTGGTGCATGGATGCATGATGCAAGGAAACCCACTGGAGCGACACAAATATTCACAGCAAAGATTCCTGGCTTGTGTTCTGAAAGTTTGATTTATTGTGAACTTCACTGATCTACCCCAGCTGATCCTGGTCATCCTTTGGCCTTTAGAGCAATGATTCATATAATTTCTCTGCAAAAATTACCATCTGTTATGCAATTTTTTTATTGGTTTTTGTTCTCGATTTTAACAAAATGAAGCAAGTCAGCAGGAAGTTTGCTTTTACAATGTTAAATTCTGATGAGAGCATTGTGGTAGCATTTTCAGAAAGCCTCAGACAGTCTCTTTCTTGATTCAATAGGAAATGTATTTTTTTCACATAGTAACAGTTCTTTGTTCTTGTTGTCTTCTCAGTGTGATACTTTAATTTTACAGCATCTCATTTTATAGGTTAACCACAGGGTCTGAAAAATAATGCAATGGTTAAGCAAATCCTTGCTCCAATTTATATTTTTAGTGAAGGTACTAAGCAAGATTGATTTCTTCTTATTTTAAATATATGCAGTGCTTGGACTTTTTTCTTTTTGTTTCGTCATTGCCAATGCAAACTTGTTAGACTTCTATTTAAACGGCACATCTTGCATGCTTCCTCTTTTGTTTTGTATCTTTTGTGTTAGGAATAGGTAAAGTGATCTACTGCTCTCTAACAGTCATTCAGATTGCTGACTTCAATTAATTCTTTAAATAGGATCGTGTCAAAGATCATTTTAACCTAAACTTGTGCAATTTGTCACAAACTGACAAAATGGGTGTGACATGACTGGTAGGTTTGTTTGTTGCATGCCTCCCCTCTCATGACTTGCCATGCAGATATCAGTTATTTTACCAGAGGGAAATGCAATGCCAACTTTTTTTTTCTACTATCAGCTTACTGATAACATTGGTAACTGGTTTTTAGCACATCCATTCAGCTACATGTTGTGATTAACAGGAGACACAAAAGAGAAAGTGGGGCAGTTTGAGGCACAAAAGAGAAACTACTTGTTTATTATTTGGACCCTTGCTGCCCCACAAACTGCAGAGCAATGTCTTGATTAAGTTGTCCTTGTTCCTGTCTCCCTTCAATGGCAATATATTTAATATCTCAATTTGATTAAGAACGCAATTCGATCTGCACCCTTACGACTGTCCTATTGTACAGTGGCTTGCTACTAATACTTGGGTAGTTTTTTTTTGCATTTTGTTCTGCAAATAGCTAATAATATGCAGATACAGAACCCTTGTTTTTTGGTACCAATGCTAATGGCATCCACTCTGGATCATGTATCACAAAGTATATGCTCAGGAAGAATAACAAGGAGAAACTCCTCTTATGATACATCAAAGTATATCATGATTCCACAAATGATAAATAAATATGTACGATCAGTTAATCCTTTTGTTATTGTGGTTGAGGGAGACTTCCTTATTTTTCAAGTAGCTGTGTTCATCTGACCGGGGAGATGAGACTGTGTTTTAACACTTTTGCTAAAGGATTGTGACACCAACAATGCAATGTTCCTTCATTAAAGTGTCAAATGTATCTGCTAAAATTTTTAAGGCAAGTTTTAAAGCTGACCTTTTTTATTCAACTTACAATGCTACCTAATGAAAGAACCTGATAGTTAAAATTTAGATTCTAACACGAAAACTTCCTAATTATTATTTTCCTTCTGGCCTTTCAGGGGGTGTATTTAAGTCAGTTTCTTTTTAATCTGTTACATTTAATCATGAGGAAGGAGCCAGGATAAGATTTTGCCTGTTGTATGACTAAAGTTGGTGGGGTGGGTGGGGTACACCAGTTGCTTTGTAGTTCCACTCCTCCATTGGTCAGAACAAATTTTAAAACCAATCAAGGTGATTACCTGATATGATTTTCGAAACATGTCAGCTAGTTTTCTTAAAGTCAGTCAAGAATAATGAGTTTTTGTGATAATGTTTCTTTTAACAAAATAAAATTTACTTAAATATGCAAAATATTATTGACAAAAAAGGTTTAGATTGTGCACCAAGATTGACATCAAGATAAAGCCACCATGGCCTTACAAGATTGAAGGGCTGCTCTCTTGTTACAGAGGCATGACTGGTGATGGTTTAACCTAAGGGTCACCATGACTCCGGCGAGGCCAGACATTACAAAGGAGACTCCTTCATGGTAATCTCAGTTGGTGTGGGGAATTTAACCCATGCTGTTGGCTTTGCTGTGTGCCTCAAATTAGCCATCCAGCCAAATGAGCTAAACAGACATTTGCCAAGGTGGCCAAGCAGGAGGCTGGAAGAACACAGCAGGCCAGGCAGCGTCTGGAGGAAGACTTCTTTAGGATTGAAGAAGGGTAATACCTGAAAGGTTGACTGCTCCTTTCCTCCAGATACTGCCTGGCTTGCTGTGTTCTTACAGCCTCCTGTTTGTCCACCATGGATTCCAGAATCTGCAATTTTTTTTGTCTCTAACCAAGACATTTGCCAAGATCGATATGCCTTCTACTCTGACACTCCTTTTTAATCTTGTTTGGTAGGACAAAGCAAATAATACTGGTGGAGTTCTCTTCTCTCCACACCCCGCCCCCCCCACCTTCAGTAAAACCTTGTTTAATCACTGTCAACCTTTAAACATTGATTTAACATTTCTTTTTAATGGAGTTAGCGTGGAATATTCAGGTTGTCCCTCCTCACACTGGAACGTTAGCCACATCCTCTATTAGATGGTTTGTGTGGGCTGGATTGCCTCAGTTCTGAATTCTATTTTTTTTCATGCTCTTGATCCTTGTATTTCTCACTTGAATTAAAATTTCACAGTTATGTTTTTTTGTGCCTCGGGAGAATTTTTTCTAAACTGGCCATTCTTATGAATTTAACCAGGCTGCCTGGGGTAAAATATTTAGTGGCACTTCTGCATTAACTATTCAGTAGTTCCTTTTTATCTCCATACATATTTTATCCATGAGCAAAGCATCCAATGTTTAACACCTTGTATTTTTTTTACAGAGAAAGTGAAAAGGGCTGCAGTTGGGCCATCAAAAAGCGGTGCCGCTGGCAAATTGCAATCAGAAGGCACTGCCAATAGCCATCGCCAAACAGGTGAGACAACTCTCCCTTTTTTAGTTGAATTGGAGAAGGAATGTTGGTTTTATCCATGGGTAGTACAGTTATGAAACCTCACTGTTAGCATCAAGTCTTGCTGGCTACTGGTGGGGCCTGAAGATAAGACACAATTATTTTGGTTCAAATTTTGTGTTCTACAATCTGAAGTTTAATTTGCCTATAATGCATGTCAGCAACAAAGCCTTGCAGTTTTTTTCTCTTGCATATCCACTTTGTGACCTCCTCATTGGATAGCCATGATTTAACACTAGAAAGACGAGGTGGGACATGTTGTTATAATTTTTTTTAAAGCTTTACTGTTATTAAGTATACTCTAAACTTAAAGTATTCTAAATCTAAAGTATTTTCTATAGCTCTACAATGCAGTAAATGTATTTTGGGACCCGAAACGTCAACTTTCCTGCTCCTCTGATGTTGCCTGGCCTGCTGTGTTTCTTCAGCTCTACATTACACTGTGTTGTCTCTGACTCCAGCCTCTGCAGTTCTTGCTATCTCTTCAGAAAACATTTCTTTTTGTCTTTTGAAGGCATTCTTCACCTTGCTATAAAAATGAACATCATTAAAGGGCATGTTTACAGAGTGGGGGGGGGGGGGGGGGGGAAAGACACCTATTGTGTAATTCAAACGGTGGACATGATTTTTTGCTTGTTGCTGAATTAAATAGGAGTGGACATCAATTTTAGGTGCTGGTTGCTGAAGATATTCTCTCTTGAAGCCATATTGAATGGCATTGATAAACCTGTTAATATTCATAAAGCTGTAGCACCAAGACTTTGTGGCCTGGGCTGCCTGAGGGAGATGAGAATTCTTCACGTGTAATGTGAACTAAATTTGAGTCAAACCTGAGGTACAGAGTGTGCAGTAATGCTGCTGATTCTCTTTTTTTTATTTTTGAATATATCTGGCTATATGCAGGATTCTTCCCCTTTTTGTTGAGGGAGTGATTCTATATTGAATCTCTTTTTCCTCAGTCTCACTTTTAATTTTGGTTTAGCCAGACGCCATCGGATTGCACAATGTTAAGTCTGTGTTTTTATAAAATTCTCTGCAGAAGTAGCTACAGCAAATTTGTTGGATTTAACTGAAGGAGCAATATCATTATCGACAAACAATAGACATGATCCTTCTCTTGGAGATACAACTTGTTCAGTAAACAACAATGTTATGTGGGTAAGTGTAAATACCATTGAGGAAGTGGTTGATCACATTTAATGTGCCTATTGATTTCAGGAATGGGTTGGTAAGGTTTTGTTTTAAATGCAAATTCCTTTAATTCAATACTAAGTCCTGTAACAACTGGTCAAGCACCAGGAGCTCTTGCGTATATACATTTGGTCCACACTGCAGCAGCCAATGGATGTATACCTTCTCCTGCCAAGAATTTTTATTTTATTCATTCACAAGATGATGACCTAGCTAGGGATGCCAGCATTTATAGCCCATCCCATACAGCAGTTAAGAGTCAACCACATTGCTATGGGTCCGGAATCCTATTTGGGTCAGACCAGGTAAGGATGGCAGTTTCTTTCCCTAAAGGACGTTAGAGAACGAGATGGGTTTTTCCTGACAATCGGCAATGGATTCATGGTCGTCATTAGATTTTTAGTTCCAGAAGGCTTTCCCCTTGTTGTCCCTCACACCATGCTACCATTATCCCAGTTGATATACAGATAAATAACAGCGTGTGCACCTGGACGCCACCACATCCTTTTTTTTTACCCCTCAAAATTTGCAGTGGCTGCACAAACTTAAATATCTCCTTGCTAGGCTTTTTGATTCTGATTCGTTCAGAGCCTGCAACAGTATCTGACATCTGCTGTTTCAACTGCATAATTTTTAAGCTTAGATTCTCTATCTCTTTTACTTTCTTTTCTCCCTGCAATTCTAATAATAGTTTTCTCATTTCCATTTCCCTTCATAATTTTGCTCTGCTCTTTGGAAGTCCATATCCTTTTTCCTGCTTCTCCACCTCTAGTTTTTCCATTTTCTTTCCTTGTGCTCCGGCTACATTGCTTATAATTCAAAAGCACCTATTCTGATGTTTCACCACCCAGAATGCATGGTTTTGTGTTTCTATTAAGTCCAAATATATCTGTTATTGTCTACATTCCTAGATTCAGTGAGTAATTTCATCCCCATCTTACTTGTCAATTTAATTAACCTTCGCTTTTAGAAATTCACTTGAGACCATCAGGGACAACCCTGCCGCCCCCAGGAAATCGGTTTCGATTTCAAGTGTTATTTCTTATTTTCAGAACAGAATTTTGTGTTTTCTTTTACCTTTATCATTTACCAACACCAGATGTAAATCGCCACCACTTATGTTTGAAAATAATCCTGGATGAGCCCTCAGTCTCCTGCTGCAAATCACTTGGGCATGTCATTATTGAGCCTCAGTACTCCCCAGGGTTCTTGCAACAGTTGATGATTTAATAAAAATATGCAACATCATTAATGTACCTATCTGATGGAATGTGGTTAGCAGAAAACCTTGACTATAAGGCACAGGAGCAGAAGTAGGCCATTTGGCCCTTCAAGTCTGACGTGCTATTTACTGAGATCATGGTTTACCAAAAACATCCACTCCGATTTCTTGCCTTTTTCCCATAATTCTTGATCCCTTTAGTAATAAAATATCTGTTTATCACCACCTTGAATATAATTTAATGACACAACCTTTACAGCTGCCCTCAATAAAGAATTTCACAGATTCACTACCCTTTTGAGAGAAGAACTTTTCTTCTCCTCTGTCTTAAACTGGTGACCCCTTTTATTCTGAGATTATGCCCTCTGGCCCTAGGCTCTTTTAAAAATAGGAAACAACCTTTCCATACCTACCCTGTCAAGCCCAATAAGAATATTGTATCTTTTCAATAAGATCACCTCTCATTCTTCTATATTCCAAAGAGTACAGGCCAACTCACTTAACCTCTCCATACCTGGAATAAGCCTACTAAACCTTCTCTGAACTGTCTCCATGCCAGTACATCTTGGATAAGAGGTTCAAAACTGTTCAAAGCATTCTAGATATGGTCTGACTATTGCCTTGTATAATTTTAGTAAAAGCCCTCACTTCCTTTTTTTTATACTTTGCCTTCCATTTATGTTCCTTTTATCGGCTGAACTTGAATGCTAGCTTTTTGTGATTTTATGCAATGAGAACACCTAAATACCACCTGTGCTGTAGCTTTCTGCAGCCTTTCTCCATTTAAATAAAAATATTCAGCTCCTCTATTCTTCCCACCAAAGTACATTATCCTCACGTTTTTCCACATTTATATTTCCATCTGCTAAGTTTTTTTTTTGTTCACTCAAGCTGCCCATATCCCTCTGGAGACACTATAAAATTAGTTTACAAATAGAGTTTCTAGCCAAAAATAAACAAAACTATCAACATTTGACACTACTAGTTGAAACTCCAACACCTCCCCCACCCCTTTTAAACCCATACGCATACTTGGAAACAGACAAACAAAAAAATGGTGTTATGCATGGAGGGAAACAAAAACTAGCAAAACATAGTTCAAAAGCACCAGTCCACAGGGTCCAATAAGCAGTTCCTTTTGCTTCCCCAAGACCTTTTTTGTTCTCATCTCTTTCTCGAGGTTCTTCGAAGGAGGCGAATGGCAATTGGTACTCTGTTTACAAATTCCCTTAGTTACTGATTTAAAGTTAATGGTTTGCAACAACTGATGGGAGAAAATAACTGACTTGCTCAGGTACTTTTTACTGCATAGAGGCACAGAATCTTCTCTTCCAACAGTCTAGAGGTTTCTGCCCCAGTACTGTAAACCCCACAAACTATTCAACAGCCCAGGAGCCAATCGGACAGCTGTTGTCAGACCAGTGTCTTCTAGCATCTACAACTGATCACCTTGGTTCGTACAAAACAGCTACCTATGGCTGGCCCAATCATCATCATCTGAATACACCCCCTAATGCCATGCAGTCTTATCGACAGTATAGATGTCACTCAGAATGAATTCCAACAACACTTTTTAAACCATTCCTTTCCCAGACTTGCTTTAAAAAACAGCTCTTTTCCATTTTATTCTACAATCAAAAACTAAAAAAAAAATGGTCTTTACAAATAGTAATTTGCCTTTAATTTATTTTCAGGAACTAAATGATGACCTGGATGAAGCTTTTGCGAGGTAAAATTTTTGGTTGTTTTTGGAATTTCGAATCTACATGCAAAATGAATTACTTTTGAGCACCTTTTCAGTCGTCAATTTAATTCTTGTTCATTTTCAAACTGATCTTTTTGTTCTGACTTTTACAAGCTGCAATTTGGATAGCTTTAGTTCAATTGCAGGTAATTGTTGAATGTATGATATAGTGCATGCTTTGAAACTTCCAGCCTACCACCACAGCAGATGATCTTCCCTACACTATATGCAACAAATCTGTAAAGTATTCTGGTTCTCTGTACATGTGCTTGCATATGCTGTCACCCTGCTGTGTTTAATTGCCTGTTGCCAATCTGACTAAGTTATCCTACTGTGCAGAAGGAGTGCAATGTATCATTTGACTAATTTTAAGTTTATTCATTTGGATTTTAGGAATATATTGAATAAGAAATATTCAAAATGAATTCATTTAAAGTGAATTTAATCTGAAGGGAGTGATTTGACTATTAGCTTGGCAATTTGGACAAATAGCACTCTAGCTCAAATGAAACATGAACTGTGAATGCTGAATATGGAAAATTTCAATGCACCTTCCTGTTAGATGTTTTCTTTTCCAATGTTTTGGCTTATTACAATACATAATTTTGTTTTGCTGGAGGATTTTGTGAAGACGAAACCTGCTTCATTTATGAGGGTGGTGCTGAAGAAGGCAAGGGGTTCAGTTGTCACATTGTATGCTGCTTGGATTAAGGCACTTTGTGCAACAGCTGCCTTTTGCATACGTTGCAGGACAGTAATATCTGTGTTTTAGCTGTGTTTACCTTGCATAAAGTAACTCCTTTGAGTGACTGTGGCAATGTCACTAAGAGAAGAGGGAGACTTTAGAAATTAACGTGCAGGGAACTGGGATTCAAATTCTCTTTCACAGCCAGCGACAAATTCAAGTGCGTCCTTTTTTTGTTCTCTTTCCCCTTGTCTCTCTTCTGGTCAGTAGCCGGCCAGAGAGTGTGACTCCCACTGCTGAAAAGGAGGACATTGAAACTTTGCTTCTTTCCTTTTAAGTGGAGTTCACAAGGCCCATCACATGGTGCCCATTCTTTAAAAATGCAGTTATGCTATTTGTTTATCTGTTGAATTCCTATCCTTTGCAATTTGGTCAATGGGCATCTTTTATTCTGCTTGCCCACCTCCATGATCCCCTCCGCTTCGTGCTAGCTGACATTGTAAATAGTTCCATCTACTCTGCCCACTTGTCTTTCAATATAGCCTCTATTAACTCTTGCCTAAAAAGAAATTGTTCTTGCAAACAGCTATCTAAACTTCAACCTCTCTTCCCTTTTTTAAAGTGCTTGACCATGCTTTTGTCTCAAGTCTGTGCCCCAGGTTCTCCTAATTCCCTATTTGAAACTCTGGTTTCTGCATCGATCACTGCAGTGAAATAGTCCTCATCAATCCCAAGTGACATTCTCTGTGACCGTGACTATTTTTATGGTCCCAGCTGATGTTACTACTAGACAAGTTGGGACCCAGACTGAATTCTGGCCTGATTGGCCATGTTTTGTTTTATTTAATGCACTGAAACACAAGTATGTAATGCTGCAGAACTGGTTTTGAAGATAAAACAGAAACTTATTACATAAAAGAAGATAAAATAGAATAACCACGTACACGTAACAATTTTAAAGTCTTCAAAATGCATGCTAAAATACAATATTCTATCTATCCCACCAGCATCCCTTTTTAATAATATTCAAATACCAACAAGAATTTCCTTCTCTCTCCCATCTTTCAGGCTGGCTTAATTATTGCTTTCAGTTCCTGGTCTTTTGTTTGAGCCTATTCCTTGAACATTCATACACCTGGGTTTAGCTTTGGATAACCTCAGGATTCTAACCAAGCACTTATGGTCTGAAGCTTCAAACTAAACCCTTGCACTGAGGTAGCTTGTTTCTAACATTTTCTGAACTCATTACTTGAGGAGAACTGTTTTGTACATCCAACATGAGCCAGGACATCTTTTTAAACTAAAGTCAAAAGATCTTCAAGCTATGGATGATTCTCCAAGCCAAAAACAAAATGATTCCAATCCTTCTAATTGAAAACAGTCTGATACTCTGAAATGTTAAATCTGTAACTCTAACTCTCCCACTGCAAACAAATTCCTATTAGCATTCCAGGAACTGTATCTCTCATACAGGTTTAAAAAAGAAACATGGCTCCAGAAATACTGAGAAGTTAATCATTCAAACCCTTCACACACATTGAACAAAACTCACTCACCAATAGTTCAAAAACCAAACTAAGATAGATAATATAAAAAGAAATCTGGCACCTTTTACACCATGCTGTGTTACCCCTCTTCAACCTCACGGCCAGTGGTTGTATTAATCTAATTGATTGAGGGAGTGTACAGTCCACTACTTCAGTGTAAAACCAAACCAGTTATGCACAGAACGTAAAATAGGGCAAAAAACCATCAACGTAACATCTCTTTTCCCCCTCTCCCCCTTTTCAGACTGGCTCAATCTCGAACAAACCCTCAGCTCCTGGACATTGGTGTGAGCCCTCAGGATATGCAGGCAGAAGAATGCCTTTCTCCTACAGACTGGGAAAAAAGTGATCCTGGAGTTACAGATAAAGATGATTTGTTTGGGTTCTGATAATTTGAGAGCCAAAGAGAATAGACCGCTTACCTACAAAAGAGGAATTGACCACTGGATGAAACCTAGCTTGGCACCTTCTGCTCTCAAGATGCAATGGTTCAAGAATGAAACTTTGATTTGAATGGCTATGTTGCAGGATGACTGAAATGGAGGATTAAATACGTTTGCCTTTGTTCCAGTGTTGCCTTTTGAGGAGGTCCAGACTAGAGTAAATAGCCCTGACATAAAATCCATTCAGGCTTCTGGACCCAACAAAGAGCATATAGTCTTGCCTTAGTAGACTGTCAATTAGGCAATGAGCTGCCTGTTCATTTGGACTGAAGCTGTTGCTAGAAATCAGTCCTGAAAGTACTACAAGTTTATGACTATATATTAGATTTGTGTTAAATATCATAAAATGTCTTTTATTTTTAAAGAAATATTGCTATTTCCCAACTGAACAAGCGGCTTATTGTCTCTTCTTTGTCTGCTGTTGTTACCCTAACAATTTAAGGGGCCTCTTTTCAGCTTGCTATGTGAGAGCATCGATGAATGCCCTCAATTGTTGCTTGGTAGACTTGCAGTTTGCAACTTCACATGTAAGCTTTTGTTACATTAACTATGGGAATGTGCATAAACTGTATTTAGTCTCTGCATTTATTGTAATACAGTGTACTATTATAATGAATGTTAATGTATTTTAAGTCCACCTCATTTACACTGCCCCACTGCCTTAGTTTTCATGTTAAAAATTTTACAATTCAATTCAATACAGCACAAGAACAGATCCTTCGGCCCACCAAGCTTGCACCAATTCCCTATCCTTATTTAGACTTGCTACTTTATTGCCCAGATGCGGTTTCTATTGCTGTTTGCCTCCCGTTCTATCTTAAGGCATATCTTGATATTTTAGATAGTTTAAAGTGCTGTAAATGTGTCTGCTTCCACTGGCAGTGCATTTCAGGCACCTACCACACTCTGTGTGAAAACTTTTCCCCGCACTTCTCCCCTAAACTTTTCCCCCTCTCACCCTAAACCTGTGCCCTTTTTGTAGTTGACCTTTCCACCCTGGAAACAAGCCTCTGACTATCCACCCTATCTATGCCTGGCATAATTTTGCAGACCTCAGTCAGGTCACATTTCAGCCTCTGTCTTTCCAATGAAAACAATCCAAGTTTATCCAACCTCTCCTCATAACTAAAATCGTCCAGATCAGGCAATATCTTGGTAAATCTTCTCTTACACCCTCAAAGGCATCCACGTCCTTCTTGTGGTGTAGTGACCAGACCTGCATGCAGTATTCCAAATGTGGCCTCACTAACTTTGTACAGCTGTAATGTAACTTGGCAACTTTTATATGCAATGCCCAGCTGATGAAGGGAAGCATGTTGTATGCTTTCCTGACCACCTTGTCCATCTGTGCTGCCACTTTCAGCGATCTGTACGCCCAGATACCTCTCTGTTAGTGTTCCTAAGAGTGCTGCCATTTATTGTTTATTTGATCTTCCAAAATGTATCACCTTGCATTTGTCTGGATTAAACTCCGTCTGCCATTTCTGTGCCCAAATCTGCAATCTATATCCCTTTGGCAATCCTCCTCACTATGTGCAACCCTGACAATATTGGTGTCATCTGCAAACTTACTTATCAGACCTCCTACATTTTCATCCAGATCATTTATACACGTCACTGCAAACAAAAGGTCCCAGCACTGATCCCTGTGGAACACTACCCTTCCATTGGTGCTGTCTTCTTTGACCAAGCAAGTTTTTGTTTCCATCTAGCTAGCTCATCACAGATCCCATGAGACTCTACCTTCTGTACCAGCCTGCCATGAGGTATATTATCAAATGCCTGACTAAAATCCATGTAGACAACATCCACTGCCCTTTCTCATCAATCATTCTTACCATCCCGTCAAAAATCAATCAAATTGATTAGACACTATCTTTCTGCACAAATACATGCTGCCTGTCATGAATAAGTCCAGTCTCTTCCAATTTTGCATAAATCCTGTCTCTCAGTATCTTCCCCAACAGCTTCCCCACCATTAACATTAGGCTCACTGACCCCCTACTGTTTCTGATCTTAAACAAATGAACAACATTGGCCATTCTCCAGTCCTCTGGAACCTTGCCTGATGCCAAAGAGGATGCAAATATATCTGTTAAGGCCCCAGCTGTTTCTTCCCTTGCCTCCCACAGTATGCTGGGATAGATCCCATCTGGCCCTGGGGACTCGTCTACCTCAATGTATTTAACACTTCCTCCTTCATTATGTTTTCCTGCCCAAGAGTATTACACACCATTCCCTAACCTCAACATCCCTCACATCCCTGTCTTCAGTGAATACTGACATAAAGTACTCATTAAGGATCTCACCCATTTCCTATGGCTCCACGCATAACCTCCCTCCTTTTATCCTTGAGTGGGCCTACTCTTTTCCTTAGCTACCCTCTTGCTCCTAATGTATGTATAAAATGCTTTCGGAATCTCCCTAACCCTGCTGGCCAAGGATATTTCATAGCCTCTTTTAGACCTCCTAACTCCCCATTTCGAGCTCCTTCCTACTTTTTCTATATTCTTCAAGGACTTTGTCTGTCTGTTTTTAGTTGTCTAGACCTTTTGTCAAAACAAAAGGAAGCATAACTAAGCTGATAATTTCCCCTGTCATTCAAGGTTCCTGAATCCTACCATTCCCATCCTTCATTTTCACAGGAACCTGCTTATCCTGCGCTCTGATCAACTGGTCTTTTAAAAGACTCCCACATGTCCAATATGGATTTACCCTCAAACGGCTGCTCCCAGTCCACATTCTCCAATTCTTGCCTTCAGTTACAGTTGGCCTTCTCCCAATTTAACTGTTTCATCTGAGGTCCACTCTTGTCCTTATCCGTAAGTATCTGAAAACTTAAGGAATTATGGTCAGTATTTCCAAATGCTCCCCCACTGAGACTTTGGTCACCAAGTGACCAATAGCAGGTCCAATATGGTCCCTGTCCCTCATTGGACTATCCACATACTATTTCAAAAACTCTCCTGGAGTTTTCTGACGTTTGTTTTCCAAAGTTTTGAAGTGTGAAAACATAACTCCCTACACATTTTTTTAATGGGATAAATAGAACCTATGCTTTTTTAAAAATTTAAGTGTCAGATTCAAAAGCTTCAGTTTACATCCAGTGGATGCATTCCTGGTAGATACTCGTATAAAACATGAGCAAATGAGAGTGACACCAAGTCTATTGTAATATGATGTACCCCTGTTAATCATGTGGGAAATCTGTTGCACATCCTTTTTTTTAATGGACTGAAAAGGAGTACAAGGTATAACACGCAAAAGTATTTAAAAATCAATTTTAAATTTATAAGCAGTTTTGTAGCACTGTTTCATTTTAAGGATAATTGGCACACATCCCGTAGCATGTAAAACAGCATAAGTAAAGTACTCTCATCTCACTCTAATGGTCAGAACAGACAGCTAAAATCCAGACAAATTAACATTGCTGTTAGGCTCTTAACAGAGAAAGGAATGAAATGGTGCTCTGCATTTGCTCTCCTTTTCTCGATGTTTCTCATTATTGATCAGAGCCCAAAATTGCTGGCATAGCATTACTTTGGGTTTTCTCCTCATCCAATTCTACCAATGGAGACTAGACCATTTTAAAGCGTCTAAAATGGTCACAATTGTAGTTCAATCCAAGCTGCCTTTTATGTAGAATGATTCCCATTTAACAATCTGGCATTCTATTACTATAGTAAACCTATTATTTTACATGGCATCTACTGGAGTTTTTAATGATGCACAATGTGGTACTCAACTGTATATTTCTTAATGGAAAGATTTTTATGGATTATAACAGAATGGGTTGAGACTTGTTATTCTGGAATGTTTGGTTTTGGAATTTGAGTAAACTCCAGTGTGACAAATCCCACACTGCAAGATCAAGCGTTCACAATATCTAGTAGAGAACTTGTGCTTTTTAATGATGGTAATATTGTTGGCACTTTTTGACAAATGTATAATAAACGCACTACTGTTAAAATGGAGAAGCTGTCATAACTCTCAGCTGATGTCCTTTTTAAATGGTGCTTTGAACAATACTCATTCCACTTCTGTGTAAGATTAAAAGTGAAGGTGTACACTTTATTTTTACCGTCGCTCTGCTACTATTTCCACTTTAGAGGTGTCGGAAAAGGAAAATTGGAAACTATATTTTTAATGAGGATTGAGAAAGTTTTAATGGGATGGTGTTGCTATGAAGGCATCATACCTTTTTTAATTTTGAAATTTCTTTTAACTTTATGTACGGAAGAAATAAGAGCAGGATTAAATGATATGCCTTGAGTTTGCTCCATCATTCAAAAGATAGTAGTTAAGCTATCAGATCAAGTCCATACACTGCCCCCACCCACCAACCCTCACCATCAGCAATTCCCTTAGTGACCATAAAACATTGTACTCCTTCACTAAGCCTCTACAGATCTGAAAGTTCAAAGATTCATAATCCTCTGAGTGAAGAAATTTACCAAATCTCGGTCCTAAATGGTAGATTCTTTATTCTGAGATCCAATTCTAGATGCCCTAGCTAGGGAAAACAGCTTGTCAGTAGCTGTCCTGTCAAGACACTCTGGGGAATTTACTCTGGTTCAAAGAAATGACCTAATTCATCTCAAACCAAGAAAATATAGGCCCTTCTACTCCATTTTCCTCAAAACAGCCCTCTGTCACCAAGGGTCAGGAGTTGTTCTAGTGAATCTTTCTTGCACTCAATTATGGCAAGTATATTATTCCATGCTTAAAGGGACCATAAATGTACAAGACTCCAGATGTGAACTCAAAGGCCCTGCCTAATTATGGTAGTATTTTTGTACTCTAATATTCTAAAGTTTTTTTTCAGTAAAAGCTAACTTATTTGCTGTCAAATTGCTTGTTCCACCTGGATGTTAACTTGGTCTGTGTACCATTTCAGCCCATGTGTCCCCCTCACCTCTTCACTTTCCCAAGTTTGCTAAAGTGGCAACACTAGTTGGATACATTGCACCTGATCCCCTCATTTACCATTTAGGGTTCAATCCCATGAACCCTAATTCTGTGCAATAATCTCTTGTGAAACCTTTACTTTGTTATAAGGCATTTCTCCCAGCCTCTGAACTCTTCTCTGTCATGTCTAGATTTTTCAAACATGATTTCATTTTCCAAAAAATGGAGTTGACTCTGGTGAATTGTATTCTGACTTTTGAGGTAGCCTATTATGGCATCCTTGATTTAAATTTAAGTATTTTCCCTACTATTAATGTCAAGCTAAATGGCCTATAGTTCCTCCTGTTCCCGTTGCCTCATTTTAATTAAGAGACTGGTTAAATTTTTATGGTAAATAAGCAACCTGAGTCGACTTTTATATCCTACGTCTGCATTTGGGCTTTGTTTAAATTTAGGACCATAGATTTGGACGTAACAATATCATTTAATACACCCTTGTTACATTCCTCTAGTTCCTCTATTTCCATTCTGTCCAAATTGTGATAATTGTTGGGGAATTATGAACTCCTACAGCCATTGTTTTTTCTCTTGTTATTCTTAGCTCCCCTCATTGACTCTACATCTTGATTATTTTCCTGGTCTAAGATTCTTTCTGTTGTTACCTTTCTCTAATCTTTTATGATCAGCATTTTCCTAGTTTCTTCTCCATTATATCTTTGTTTTTGTTTTTAAAATGTCATGTACTTTAGAATATTTAGTTTTTCCCATTTATAACCCTGCACCGACTTTACTAAACAAAAACAAAGTTGCTGGAAAAGCTCAGCAGGCCTGGCAGCATCTGTGAAGGATAAAAACAGGGTTAACATTCGGGTCCAGTTCTGAGGAAGGGTCACCGGACCCGAAACGTCAACTCTGTTTTTTTCCTTCACAGATGCTGCCAGACCTGCTGAGCTTTTTCAGCAACTTTGTTTTTGTTCCTGATTTACAGCATCCGCAGTTCTTTCAGTTTATGCAGAGTTTAGTAAATCTATTTTACTTCTCCATTTGACATTCCATTGCCTTTCAACAAGTGGTGATCTTGCAATTTCTATAAACAGACTGCTATGCGAAACCAGCATTTCATGTCAGCAATAAATTGAACATTACCTCATTTGAGAATATAGAGTAGTTAGCAAAAAAGCAAAGATGGCTGTCAAACTGGCTACCAACATATGTGAAAACATGCCCAGTGATATCAGATACTGGTGTTGGACGTCCCTAAGCCAGAAGGAATCTCTGCATGTGCTTCTGACATCACTGTGTTGTATGTGTAACCATATCACTCTGGTTGCATAAAACACATGGCCCTACTGAGGCCAAAGTTCCGTAGGTCAGGGAACTAGGCGCTGAGTCTGGGAGTCGGGGCCATAAATGCAAGTCTGTTTGTTTCTGTTTGCTTTTGTTGGGCTACACGGTATTCCTGGTTCAAGGGCGGCTATAGTGACTGACAGCAGGCCTCCCAAGCCAACTGAAATCTGCACAATACCAGCCAGGGCCTTTTTTGTTTTGCTTCAGCCTCCTATCCCCCTAAATATGTAGAGGCTGTCAGCAACATTTCCACAAATGAGAACAATTCAGAATGTAAGAACTTGATATGCAGCAATCAAGTTCGCTAATGCCCTTAAGAAAGGAAAGTAATTGCTCTGGCCTATATGGGATTCCTGACTCACAGCAAAGTGCTTGACTTTTAGTTGCAGGCAACTCAGCTGTACCAGACCTCTAAGAAAAATTCAGAAAGAAACAAAACTGGACGGACTACCTGGCACTGAATTAGACACCAGAAACGATAATGGCTTATACCACCATGTCGACCCTACAAGTCCTTACTAACATCTAGGGCCTTTAACCAAGGTTGGCAGAACTCTCACAACCAGTCAGGTAAAAGCTGACACAATTGTACTCACTGAATCATGCTTTATAGCCAATGTTCCACATACCACCATTACCACTCCAGAATATATTCTATACCACTGGTCAGACAAAACCAGCAGAGGTGGCATCCATAAGAGTCCTCCACTTTGATTCTGGACTCCACAAAGTCTCTGACAGCATAGCAAATGCCTTTGATAAAGTGCCACATCAAAGGTTATCGCAGAAAACAAAACCTCATGTATGGTACAACATATTGGTGTAGGCATAAGATTGGCTGCATAAAAGGAAACCTAGAGTAGGCATAAATGGATCACTTTTTGGTTAGCAAGTAGTAATGGGTGGTGAGCCACAGGGATCACGGCCGGGACCTCAAACTTTAACACCTTAAAACAATGACTTGGATGAAGGGCCCAAAGGTATGGTAGCTAAACTTTGCTGATGACACAAAGATAGGTGAGAAGGTAAGCTGTGAGGAAGAATCAAGGAAGCTACAAATGGTTATGGATTGCTTTAGTGAAGAGGCAAATATCTGGTAAATGCAGCATAAAGTGGGAAAATATGAAATTATTCATTCTGGCAGGAAGAATAAAGAAGTATAATACCTAAATGGGAAGTGATTACAGAGCTTTGATATGCAAGGGATCTGCATGCAATAGTTAATAAAATGCAAAATGTTAGTATGCAGGTTCAACAGTTAGGAAATCTTCTAGAATGTTATGGTTTAATGTGAGAGGAATTGAACGCAAGAGTGCTTCAGTTTACAATAGTGAGACCACAGCTGGAATACTGTGTATAGTATAGCTCTCCTTATTTAAGGAAGGATGTAAATGCATTGGAAGTAATTCAGAGAAGAATTACAGGATTAATGCCTGGAATGAGAAAGTTGTCTTTTGAGGAAAGGTTCGACATGATAGGCTTGTCTTTACTGCAATGTAGAAGAGCAAGAGGTGACTTAACTGAAGCACAGAGATCCTGAAGGGTGTCTATCTCCACTTGTAGGAAAATCTAGAACTAGGGTCCACTGTTTCAAAATAAAGATCTGCCCATTTAAGGCAGAGATATGAAGAAACTTATTTTCTCATAATGGGTAGTAAGTCGTTGGAGCTCTCTTCTGGAAAAGGTGGTGGAAACACAGCCTTGAACACTTTTAAGGCAAGAGGCTGATAGATCCTTGACAGTAAGGGGGTAAAACATCACTGGGGTAGGGAGGAATGTGTTTTAATTAGATGAGCTGTGATCTTATTAAATGGTAGAGTTGGCTCGGAGGGGCCCACTCCTGTTCCTAGTTAATATGTGTGTTTGCATAGGCAAGGAAACCTATTGATAACAATTATCCCCACCCTTCAACTTCAGCTTGGTAAATGTTATGTTGAACACTACTTGGAGGAACAACTGAAGCTAAGGGTTCAGAATTATATGCTGAGTAGGGACTTCAATGCCCACAACCAACAGTGCCTTGATAGTAGCCCAATTGACTGAGGTGGCCAAGTCCTGAAGGGAATATCTGCCAAACTGGCCTGCTGCAGGTGATGAGGGAATCAAGAAGAGAGAAAATCCTATCATACCTTGGCTAGATGAATCTATCTGTCACAGATGCACTTGTCCATGAGGAGTGACTACTGCACAGTCCTCGTGATGACAAATTCTCATAATCAAATTGATCATCCAGTCCATTGTGTTCTATGACACTACTACCCTACTAAACGGGATAGATTCAGAACAGTTCAAAAATGGACATCCGTGCGCCTCTGTGTGGGATCATCAAAACAGCCCACTTGATTTGCAACCCCATCAACTAGCTTAAATATTCACCCCCACCCCCCAATCCTCACCACTACCATCAAGTCACTGTGAGCAGCAGTGTGATAAACAAACAAGGTTTACTGCAGGAACTCACCAAGTTTCCTTTACCAGCACCTTCCAAAAGTACAATCTCCACCACCTAGAAGGTGAAGGGCAGGAGATGCATGGAAGAACCACTGCCTTTAAAGTCACATGCCATTCTGACTTCAATCCATAACTTTGTTCCTTCAACTGTCAGCGAATCAAAATAAGGGACACCCATTTCCAGCAGCACTGTGGAGGTCCCTACACTGGCTAGACAGCAACTGTTCAAGAAGATGGCTCATCACCTCTTCCAGGCAATTAGGGATTA